CCTTCCTGGTGATTGGCCGGACATGTGTTCTTGTGGCTGTCGTTGCTGTCTTTTCAGTAGTCTTTCTCAAGGTTTGATGAAGCTTGCAGAGCATAATATCAAATCGTTTGACAAGGGATTGAACGGGCGTGCTGAACTGTCAGAAAGTTGGCATTGATTTTGCAGGGAACATGGCTTGCATGTTGTACTCAGTCCAGTGCTGGAGGTGGTAAGGGTGTTGGAGCTCAGGATGCTTGGGTCAGGTTCTGGAGTTGCGAATCCGTAGCCTTAGTCGTGTTGCAAGGGTTGTTCCAACATTTTGACCTGGGCTTTGGGTAGCTCCTCGTCCAGCGGCGCACAGAAGCGGAAGCTGCCGCCAATCGCCCTGCTTCAAAGAACCGCTCCCGGAGTCATCTAAGCAGAAAAAACCACAACTCGACCATACAAGCGGCAGGAACAAGGGCCCGAGTTAGAGGTTGCAGGTTTGATTTCGATGCCGTAAAAACCTGTGATCTTGAACTTAAGTTTTTGTCACCGCAGCCTTCACATCCCTGAGAAGCCTCTAGAGCGGTGCAGGGAAACCTGGCATCCTCATTTGGTCACACCCCACCCTCCTCAGTCACCATCATCCACACCCTATTGTAACGGTCACTGCCGTCGTCATCCTGATCAGTAAATCTATGGTAGTCCGCCTGTCCTCCGGACTGTTCTAGCTATAGCGTTACTCTGCTTAATTCCTTCGGGACCTAGTATGCCACTTCAACCTCTTCTTCATCTTCTTGCTTCTGAACTTGCTTACCTTCGCTGAACTGTTTCTTCATTGCTGAGTTTTCTAAGTCCTTATTCGACCACGAAAACCACGTAATTATGCGCACCTATCAAGTCAAACAGCTGCCCACCCCGTATACACCCAGAAGCTTGCCAAGTTAACCCTCAACCCTACATCCCCTTGGCCGCGGCTCCTGCGTTCGTTGTGCCCGCTTTCCAACAATTCCTGGCAAGTCCGCTTTGCGACGGTCAGGTGGAGTTCGGGGTCTCATGCTTCCAGGAGTTTCAGGTGCACGTTTGCACCAATTAGTTTAGCAACTTGAGGTATGAAGCTTAGCCCGCTGTTCTGAAACGTGCAGAATGTGGCACAAAAATGTCATTGCCTTTCGGGCCCTCGTCCGAAGAAGGTGAAGAGGGGTTCTGCGTCGTGCCAGAAACCGGCAAGTCAACCGATTCTTGATATTACACGAATACAAAATGAGAGCCTGAACAGAAGTTTCTCCATAACCGAGGCTTAGCGGCTTAGCGTTCAGGTTGTCTCAGAAATACTGATGGTCAATGGACAGGCTCTGCAAGGATTCACTGTGATCGCGAAAATCGCCGCAGCACACCACGAACAACGAGGAGCCCCAGCAATAGTGATGCACAAGCGTCAGGAGGAAGATCCGAAGCACGCACGCACCAGCCAAAAGCCGCAGACAGCTAAAGACGAGCCCTCAACTCTTGAAGGATTGCAATACAAGATCATCATTGTGTCTCGAAACGAATCTCAGAACAGGTGGTCGTCCACAACCCCGTTTCAAACAACACCTCCTCGCCTCCCTACGCATCACGATCTACAGTTCCCAGAATGTAGTGCGGGCAGACTTGGCCGGACACACGAGCAACCTTATCCTTAAACACTCCGATGCGTGGTGTAGGATTTGGGGTCTGGCCGTCGGGCACAAGGTTCAAAGACCTTACAAGCGACCTCGTCTGAGCCATTCAAGGCTTGTGCTATTTCGCGGTTAGTGCCAAAGGTCAGGAGCTCCTTCACCGCGGCACCCAAGGCTGCACCGGCAAGAGCTGCGACCTGCATGAGATGGGTCTGAACGAGTGCCAGAAACCAATTGTGGCAATCTTTGTCAAAAAGGTCATGACAAAAGGTCAGCCACTCAGCACATGCTGCGGCGACAAGGGATTTGTTAAGCAAACAGATGGGCACTCAGGTGCATTCAAAACGTGCATGTTAAACCGCTTCTTCCACCACACCCTAAAGCAGCTCTCAAAATGCAGCTTTTGCAGGTGTTCCACGAAGCGCACCTAAAAAGGTAGACCTTACTTCTGATTCGAGCCTGGCCATCGCAGCCCGATGTAAAGGAATCGTTGGAGTGCGGCTGCATGCATGTTTCGCCCCGCCACACCTGGGCCCAATTCCATGGAGAAGCACCGTCTTGCCGTTTCAGGTGTAATGCCGCTCCATAATCCAGCTTCTTAACATGAATTTCTCGAGCATGCCGACGCCCCAATCTAATACTCCCTGACCTCCCTGGCCTGAATTGACACGCGCAGCTGTGCATGGGAGTTGAGCTGATCTATCATGTGGTCCAAGAACCTGGGGTTGTCTTTCCGGGTTGGGGCTTAAAGCTTGTTGGATCCTCGGGAGGAAAAGGACTCGAGGTTTGAGCTTCGGATTAAGGTATGATGCCCTGCTTCATCGTCGACCCCGCATTTGGCTTTTGAACCGCAGGCTAAGTCAATCAGTTGGCTCGTTGCTGTCGGGGTTTCAAGCCTTGGAGCAGTATTTGGCACGCCCTGCTCCCTAAAGCAAGAACTCATGTCAGAACTCCGTCAGCCAGGCATCCCAGCCTCAATCCAGCATAACAAGGTCAGCAACTTCATTCCAAGCTCACTGAACACCCGTGTCGAATCTTGCTTTCCGCGGCGCGCAATGCCCGACGCGATGGGCCTTGTTTCATGGGCTGTTGAGACCAGCGTCTGTTACTTGGCAAGCCCAGGATTGTGAATCCTGCACGGCTTAGCGTCGCTTTATGCTTAGTGGCGGTTCAGCACAATGAGAGATACAGCCACTCAAAGCAATGCTGCAACAGCTCCAGGAGATATGGGTGCACACGTCGCCGTCATATTAACTCACAGTCACTATCATCATCAACAGCAACATCGTCGTCGCATCGTCGTCGTCATCATCGCCGTCTTGCCACGCAGCAGAGAGAAGAGGTTTCTGTCCACCGAGCACCTTACAGCCACATTGGCCTGCCATTCGAGATGGAGGGGCGTTTGTGTCACTTATGGGTAATCAGCAAAGCAAAATGTCGCGCCGAGGCGCCGTTTAAAGAAAGTGAAGCTGCTCTGCATCATCATCATCATCATCACCATCATCATCATCACCATCACGCCCATGATCATCATCATTCCTCGTCATCATCGTCATCATCACCATCATCCTCAGTATCCTCATTTCTCATCAGCCTCATCAACATCATCATCACCATCTTGAGCGGCACCACCACCATCATCATCACCATCATCATCACCATACTCTTCTTGGCAGCAGCACCAGCAAGAGCAGCAGGAGCAGCAGGAGCAGCAGCAGCAGCAGCAGCAGCAGCAGCAGCGGCGGCGTAACCATCGCGATCGTCCTTTGCGTGATCCCTCTGCTTATGGCGATATCACCGTCGTTGTCATCAGCACTGCCATGATAAAATTGAGATCAGCATCATGACGATGACAATTGCTGTCGCCGTCGATACCACCATTATTAACCAGTCTTATCACCAAGAGCATCCAAGCCGTCATCATGTTCACGATCCTTGATCGGGCAGTTGCCATCATACTTGCGATATGTTGCGAAACACTCGCCTTGAGGCTTACTCTGGCTTACTGCGGCGAAAAATGAGACGTCGAAGCGCCCAGCTGGCAGTGCATCCTGCTGCGTGGCATCTGCCACCTGGTTTGCAGCGAAGTCGCAGGTCGGGTGCCAAAGTTTCGAGCCTGGGGGGCGTTCGGACCGGGAACCCTCCTGAGTTTGCCGGCAAAAACACTCTCAAGGCGTAGATGTTGAGGCAAGTCAAGCCTCAGCTCGAAAGCCATCCCAATGCCGAAACCCTTTAAATAAATGCCCGGACATCTAACGAACCAATCGGGCCAGGCACAAAGTGCGTTGAAAGCATGCCGACTACGTCAAGGTGACCGTCAAAGCTTCCCAGACGGCCTGGGCCACGGCGCGCAATGCCAGGCCGTTGTCGCCCTTGCGCTCCCCGCGCCCCGGGCCGAAGCTCGGCCAGGGCCTTGAAGAAAAGTTGGGGCCGACAGGGTGCAAGGGCTGAGGCTTTGATCTGCAGCGTGCGGTGGTTCATGATGTATTTTAGGCATCAACACCACCACTGACGAGTTCATAAGGCGACAAGGTCAAATGGAAAACCAGTGCAAGAAGCACATGCACCCCCGTCTCAGCGCCGGCTCATCATGCAATCTCCATCCTTTCTCAACTCCACTGTCAAGGAGCCTGAACCCGACCCGCAAGTTGGATGCATAGAACTACCGCAACTACCGCTACTAGTACTACTAGTATTACCACTAGTACTTATAGTACTACTCATACTACGAGTACTACTAGTACAGTATGCTGGGAATTTAGAACAATATTTGCTGAGCAAGATTGCAAAGCAATGTTGCCATCCTGCCCCACTTGCCCCACTTCGGGCAGCGGGAGCGAGATTGCCAGCAGCTTGCAATCTTGGTCTAAATGGTAAACTAGTCGGCGAGCAAGTGGGGCAAGTGAGGCAAGATGACCAGGGGCGACCCAGATGACCAGGATGAGCAGCGGCCGAGCAAGATGACCAGGATTGCAAGATGACCAAGTTCAAGATCTGCTCAAAAAAAAAATCCTAAATTCCTGCACCATGTACTAGTACTCTGCTGTTGCTGCTGCTGTGGCGGCTGCTGCTGCTACTGCAGCGCCTGCTGCTGCTCCTCCTCCTGCTCCTCCTCCCACTA